AGATGCTCCTTCAAGTGCGCCTCTCGGAAGGTAGACGAGAACATAGCTTGAAAGAACTCAGATCGAAGCAGCATTGCCCGGTGGCAGGGGAACAAGATTGATTTCCTGTCTTGCTGTTTGCCATTCATGTGGAAACCATCACCAAAGCCGTCCTCGTCTTCAGGGAGCTCGTCTGCTCGAAGCACAACATCACCGAAGATCCCATTGTGACGGTCCCATCTGACTTCATCCACCTTAGAGGAATCGACCTCTATTTTACTTCCAAGGACATTCTTCCGGAACCATTCTTCGAGCTGATCTCGGCCTCTTGAAAGCTCCATTGACCTCCGCTGCCTGGCTAACCTCCTGTCCCCACTGTCAATGATACTATCCGGCAGACTGGGAATCTCCAAGTGCTTGGCGATCCTGTCGATCCCTGCGAAGACTTCTGACTCAGTAAAACCCGTTCCGGGTCCGCTTCTCAAATCCCGAGGAGCCTCTCCAAAGTACAGGTACTTGATTGCCGTTCCGAATGCTTGCGGCGGAATCGTGCTAGGCAGTTTCCATGTCGTAGCTTTGGGATCAGCTACCAGTTTCCCCCGAAAGTACGGAGAACGTGCAGCAAGTATGAACTTATGCAAATACAGAGACTCGTCACCGGCTGTCACCACAATATCAGATGTCCCGGGTTGATCTCGAGTGAGTAGCGACGATACATGGGCGGCAAGGGGCTGAAGAGGATCGGTAGACTTCGAATAATCATATTCAAGTAGTAAGTTTCGTATACGGTCGTTCAAAGCATTATATAGGCATCTGCAATAAAATCGAGGATTAGTCTGAGAATGATCAGAGGACTATCTACTCGATGACAGATGACGCATACCTTTCTCCTTGAAAAGTGTCACGTTCACACAGTGCACCGGACTCAAGAAGGAGCTGGGCAACCTCGTAATGGCCACAAAGACTTGCCTAACGTCATAATCCTGTTAATGTGATGTCCGACGGCTAATCCGCAATGGCAGAGGCAAATCCCCGGTTGCCATGATTCCCGCGATACTCAAGGGATAGTTTACTTACTAAGATCAAGGGAGTATAGTCGTACGGATCTCGAGCGTTAACATTAACTCCTTCCGTGATCTTTTCCTGGCAGACTTTCAGGTCCCCCTTGCGACATGCTTCGCAAAGTTCCCGAAACGGCTCGCTCAGATCAAGAGGGTTGTCATCCTTGATTGTCCCCTCCTGGATCAGCTTCTTCTCATTGTGGAGGCTGATTTCAAGTTGATCTTTGCGTAGTACAGTCCTCTCGGTCATCATGAAACTCAATCAGAAGGCCTTGCCGGGGCACCAAAAGAAGACAGGAACCGGCAAAATATCCGAGGCTGCATGTAGAGTGCAAGACTCGAGATCATTTAACAATGGCATCATCTTATCGATAAGAATAGTCACGTGTTGTGTATATTGCCACTATGACAGCAAAGGGGGATACAAGTTCGTTCATTGATTGAAGCTAATCCTGAATGTCCACAATAAAGGCCAATAAAGGAGTTAGATAATGAATCAATTATTTCAAGCTATTTGGTGAGTCCTAGGCTCTCAAGCACTAGAAATGCGCTCATATACACTCAAATAAATTGTTTGCAAGGGAGGAAGTTATATGTTTTCCTGAGTGCAGCTCGTGAACCACCGTTGGGCTCACCGCCCTGGGGCGGACCGCCTGCTGCATACAGAATAGAGCCATGTCTTGCTGCGTTGCTCAGCAACAACACTGCATCTAAACATCCAAAACTCTCGTCGCATACTTAGTTACCTTCTTCTTCGCAACCTGACCTTGGTTCCATATCAACTTTCGTCGTCGTTTACTAACCTAACAGGGACACATCGTGAGACACAGGCTAATAAATGCATTGCATGCCTGTATAATATCCTTTCGAGCTTGTCCTACCCAATTTAATCTTGACCCCCATCACCTCCTCAGCGGTCCGAACCACTTGAATGCCACAATGGCAATTGCTTTAGCTGAGGCAGACAAGTATGAAGTCTTGGAGAAGATTGGTACGAGTACCCTGCCCCTGAAGTCTACAATCCTCCCATAAAACATAATATTAAGCAAAACTATGCAGGGTGTGGTTCATTCGGCATTATCCGCAAGGTCAAACGGAAATCGGACGGCTTCGTAAGGACTCGATCCAGGTTGGTGACGCTGGTGTCGGAACTAATTAGCAAGCCAGATACTATGTCGCAAAGAAATCAATTACATCAAGATGTCGCAGAAGGAGCGCGAACAGCTCACTGCCGAATTCAACATCCTGAGCTCCCTCCGACACCCGAACATCGTCGCATATTACCATCGTGAACATCTCAAAGCAAGCCAGGATCTGTACCTGTATATGGAATACTGCGGCGGCGGTGATCTTAGCATGGTTATCAAGAACTTGAAGAAGACAAACAAATATGCAGAAGAGGAGTTCGTTTGGCGCATTTTGTCACAGCTGGTAACAGCGCTATACCGGTGTCATTATGGAGCGGACCCGGTTGATGTGGGATCGAACATACTGGGCCCGGCTCCTAAGCCCACTGGTCTCAAAGGCAAGCAGGCGCAGATGACTATCCTGCACCGTGACTTGAAGCCCGAAAACATATTTCTTGGCAGTGACAATACGGTCAAACTCGGTGACTTTGGCTTGTCCAAGCTAATGCACTCGCATGACTTCGCATCGACTTATGTCGGCACTCCCTTTTACATGTCACCCGAAATCTGCGCTGCAGAGAAGTACACCCTCCGGTCTGATATCTGGGCTGTCGGCTGCATCATGTATGAGCTGTGCCAGAGAGAACCCCCCTTCAACGCGAAGACGCATATTCAGCTGGTGCAGAGAATCCGAGAAGGGAAATATGCTCCTCTCCCAGATTTCTACTCGCCAGAATTGAAGAATGTGATTGCTAGTTGCTTGCGTGTCAACCCAGACCACCGACCAGACACCGCCGCTCTAATTAATCTTCCTATCATTCGCCTGATGCGGAAAGAGAAGGAAGTGGTTGATCTTGGAAAGACGCTCCGAAAGCGCGAGGAAGCTGCGTCGCAGAAGGTCAAAGAAATGGAGCAAGCCTTTGCGAAGCTTGAAAAGGAGAAACAGCAAATGAAAACAGAAATTGAGAACACCGTGCGCCGAGAGTGGGAGGTGAAGGCAAGACTCGAGATCGACCGTCAGGTACAGAACGAACTTGACAGGTTACGCAAGAGATTTGAGTTCGAGGTACAAGAAAGAGTGAACATCGAAGTTGAGAAGCAAAAGCGGAACAACAGTTTGAGGGACGATGCGGTCCTCCCAACGAGCAGTTCCCAGTCGTCTGTTAATAACGGAGATGACTCTGGCTTCCCCTCAAGCACCGATATCAGCCAGTTGTCCATCGAATCCCCTACAGCCAGCCCAAACAAGCAACCAAAGAAGGAAACTAGGACTCCTTTCAGTCGCTCGAAGACGGTGGTTGAATCGCCTGTCGACGTGCAGATGGCTGAGCCGTCACCAATCTCCATCGCATCACTCTCATTGTCCCCCCGCCGTACCTCAGCGGCAAGCAAGAATATCTTTGCGGAGGCGGACAGGCAGCGAGCGAAGTGGGAGCCAACTCTAGCTTACTCTGATGACGAAGACGATATACCAGACCTTCCCTCCCCTACCCGACACAAAGTCAAACATGATCCTCTCAAGGCCCCGGCGCGTCCTCTGCTCCGACAGAACACTGCTGCGTTGATGCAGAAGCTGAGCTCCCAGCCGCCTCTCTTCCCCTCCAATTCCTCTAGGCTACCCCAGCTGCCGGGTGCCCCGTCCGAAATTCGTCATGGAGAGGCAAAGTCTAGATCACCCCATAGGCGGCTCTCTAAAATCCCGTCATCGGCGAACCTTGCTGCTGATGCCGGGTCCCCAACTCGCAAGAGTGCTACTAAGCAGCTCCCTTCGAAAGCGAACGGTGGTGGTGAAGAGATGTTCAAAGCCGTCATGCAACGTAACATGGGTGGCCGGACATTGGTTGAACTTGCCCAGGCAAGGGCTGGTGGACGGCCCATGGATGAAGTAAAGCGGTGCGCAAGTGATTCGCGCGCTGCGGGCTGCTCATCGAATCTGAGATCTTCCGACCGTGAGCCTCCTGCCGTTTGGGATCCAGAGAAGGACGAGATGCCCAGTCCATTCCTGGCTCGTGGAAGAAAGGTCATTCGGAACTTCAGGTAAACCTCGGCCGCCCTAATCGGAAGACTTTTGGATGTTCCTGACTATCCGTCTCTTCCGAACGAATGGGAACACTTTTTAATCGCTCAAGAAACGCGATTCGCAAACACAGAAGGGCATTTCTACATGGCAGCCGCCTCTAATATTTTCCACGGATCTTAATAATTGAGACACTTCTTGGAGTTTCGGCCCGGTGCTGCGCTTTGGAGAAGTGATATGAACCATGCAAGGCATGGGACTGATGCATGATATGGCGCATCCTTTTGATTAGCATCGTCGACGCGACGCGAACAACACCCTTTTCCTTTGTGTCTTAACGCTGTGATGCCCTTTCCTATTTGCTGTGTTGTTTTCGTCTGTTGTACTCCAGTTTCCGCATCTCAACATACACCATCCTCCAGATTTTGACCGATAGAGATCTACTCCCTCAATGGGCCCCTGCTTTACGACAGTGTCCAAACCAGTCTACTCTCGTTCCCTTGTACATTTCCTCTTCTTCTCTTTGACCCTGGCAGTGTCTCTTCCCCTCGAATGGCGTTAGTTTGGAGGCTCATTGGATATCCGGCGTATTCAGGAAAGGCATATGTGTGTACATACAAATTCTGTTTCTCTTTCGCTTAGGTCTTCAGTGCCTAGAATCCAGGACAACTTATCTTCACCATCATCCCCAGCAATGGGACAATCTTGGTTTTGAACCGTTCCAGTTAAGCGGGAAACTCGAGCCTCTCTTATTGAATTCGGCCAACCATGTGTCACAATTTAGAGTGTCTCGAAACGCATATTGATTCGTGACTATCAAGCTTCTTCATCCTCAACTTCCTCCATCTGTACAGTGCGAAGTTCGCGATTGAATCGTTCTTCCTCCTCTAGAAGCTTTTGCTCGATGTCAGCCTTTGCCGGCTGAGCGGAGTTTACACCTTCTTTGGGTTCCGCAATATTGGCGCTGTAACCGGCTTTCTCAAGCCTATCCATTTCTTCGGGCTCCAGCAGTTTCCCACGACCTTTAATAGACTCCTGTTTGACTCTGACTGCCGCGGGCACGAACTTGCTGACAGCTTCTTGCCGTAAATTCCTGATCTCCGGCTTCGCTTCGTAGACGGTCTTCGTTTCCACAACGGCCGGCTTGGACGGCAGAGGATGTGGCCCACGAGCGCTATCCAAATCCAGGTCTGCATCTGGCCCTCTCCGTCTCTGATATTGTCTAGGTATGGGCGGGGGCGTGTCCCGCGGCATAGGTATCCGGCGAACATCCTCATCTGTCTCGCTACTATCACTATCTGGCTCCGATCGCCTGTGATCCTCTCTCCTCCTTTTGCCAAGTACTCCGTCTCCGTGGTCTCTTTGGCCGCCAGGAGGCCCTCGTCTGTGTTCCGAACTCGCAAATGTGGGGGCTTTATCGCCAAGTGCTTCCCTGGCCTTTTGCACTGCTCGTAAATCGCGCTCAAGGGCCTCCAATATCTGCTTCTCGCGTGGCCGCAGCTTCTGCCCGGACTCCTCCATTTCTTTGAGTTCGTTTATTTGTCTCTGAATGCGCTCGGGATTGCGACGCGCCAGCTTCTCGTTCCGACGAGCCAGCACTTCGGCTTTCGCCTTTTTCAGGGTTTTCTGTTTCTCGAGCTTCCGCTGCGCCATCGCAGGGTTGAATGAGCGTTCTTTGTCCTTAGGCATTGTTGCTCTTCTTTTCGTCGTTCCTTCGAGTCTAACGTTCTAGAATACTTCGACGATTCGAAATTTGTATGGTTGCGCTTTGGGAAAGTAACAGTCCCCGGTTTTCGACAATACTAGGGTGCGATTGTTACTACCGATGCCAAAAATCCAAGTCAGTCAAGGGAGTCACCCAAAATCGGACTAACTTGGCAATGTAATCTGGTTGGGTAGGACAACGTTCGCTGCAGCTCTTGCAACAGGCTAGACCTGCGTCACTTACATTGGGGAAAGCTCACAGGCTGACGATAAAGTAAGCTGCATCAAGAGCAGCAACAAGAATCTTTTCCCAAGGTCGGATCTTCCGAGCACTGACCCTCCCAATCGACAAGGAATCCAGTAATAAATCTGTAGGGCTTTAGCCTCACGGATTGGGCAGCGGCTTGAGTAGATCCAGGCGTGGGGAAAGGCGATGGCGACAATACAATGGACAGAATTGGCGACTAGAGCTGTAATGACGACGCGCCAAATGCGCTATTTTGAGAGTTTGTCGACTTTCACAGCTTTTAATGGAAAATAGATGAGTTCGGTCGTCGCTGTCAATGATGATATTGGCGAGAAGGGAGGTATTGAAGGGAGTGAGCATTAACGAAAGAAGTGTGGCGCGGAGAAGAACCACGATTTTGGAGACGAGCAGTGACGTTTATCTAGGGAAAGAATAAAACAATCGGATTATTGCTACATTGTCTTCACTGAATGACAATTATCAACTATGGCTAGAATAGTATCAATGCAACGAGCATCAAGATCACGAGCGACGAATGGGACCAGTTATTATTGCAGGTGGTATCAATATATATTTCTTATAGAATATCCCACTCTGGTTGCTCAGTATAAAGCTGCAGAACTGTCCTTTTGTCCCCTTGTACAGTGTATTTTGCAAAGATCGGAGGCACCATTTTCTCCACAAGAATCTCTTCGCGCTTTCTTCATCTATGTCGTAGAATTCTTATTCCATCCGAGTCACTTCGACTTGTCGATCCTCTCCTGTACGAGGCACCCTTGAACATTCCTCTTCCTGGAAGATTCAGCTTGTACTCCGTACCTGTGCATGTCTCATCAGCTCCGTCATCATCGATCAACTCAGATCAGATCGAACTCGCGCCTCGTCAGTGTAACCTGACAGGCTAAGGAGGAGTGCAGCCGCGGTTGCACCGTCTCCTGTTTGATTTTCTGCCGCCGACTAGACTAATAATCTGCTTCCTCAAACGGGGCCATATTCCCGCTGCCGTTAATCGCTCTCCCCTGTCTCCTCTCTCGATTCTCAAAGACACCCCGAGTTTATTGTTTCTCGCGTCAGGAGGATACGCCAAATCAGCGACCTGAGTCATTTTGCCGACTCCAGTGGATTCTGCGCTTTGACAGCGCACTTTGCGCTCTGTTACTATTCCCTTTCTCCCCGTCCTCACTTGTCTCCGTTCCGTTTCCCCTGCACCCCCCTGTGTTGTTCTCCTACGCTTTCCTGCAGTCACCATCATGAAATCGGGTCCATTGTATCTATACGGTTCCAGATCGATCGGCGCTTCCTAGACTCCTGTCACGGTTAGAGCATGTCTCTGCCGGGACCAAATGTCCGTGTCAGCCTCGATTCCCGATACCTCGCTTGGCCTCACCTCCTCCGAGATCCAAATCCTACGGCAACAACAACAAATTGCACTCCAGAATGGGCATACTGGGAATGGCGTTTCCAGGGGCAGAGGGACTGGACGGACCAGCAACTCAAGCTCGCGCGCCGCCAGTGCGGCCAGCAGCCATGGTCGGTTGCTGTTGGATCCGATGAGCCTTCGAGCACTCTCGCATCAGTTGGACGGACTGCAGGAACAAATTCGGAGCCGTATTGTTTATGTACGTATGCTGCATTGCTGCACTCCTTATTTTCTTTCCAAAGTTCCACCCACTGCTATCTCCCCTACATAGTTTTCTCCTACTAGACTTGAAGGGTGTTTGATAGCGATTATTATCCCTCTTCGCACACGAATGCGCTCGTCTCATTGCTAACATCCACCAGCTAGAGGATCAGATGCAACTTTCCATCCAGAACAGCTATGATCGTGCAGGAAACGTCATTCGTAACGCTGACGCTGAGATTGCTCGTACTCGTTCCATACTCGCCTCGATTGATGACTTGGAGAATGAGCTCGCCAAAATAGGACATATCAGAGAAATTGTGAAAGCTTATCGCGGCAGGATAGAGAGTCTTGACCAACGTATTGATCAAGCTGCCCGCCGGAGACACTGACGCCGCGTCTACTGCAATCTCATACTCACACCGCATATCCGCATCTATATTGGACGTTCACACATACTCTAACTCTTACGAATTCTACGAAACTAACGAAATGAAATCTTTCGCCCCGGAGGCTGTCGCATATCAGCTGCCAGATTACCGATTGACTGCCAGATGATCCCTCAACGAGCCCATGTCTTCTCTTGCAATGAACGCTTATATGATGAAGGCTGTAACCCGCTAACAAGATGAAACGAGTCTGAACCATGAACTGAGGATTCAGCAAACACCAAGAGTTCAAAATTTCCTATATACAATCCCCGTCCTCACGGACATTGTTTCATGCCAACCCTATGCAGCTTTTGTAGTGGTCGACATGTCCCATTACTTGCAATCTTTCTTTGCTCACCTGACAATTCGTCAAACGTCTTCTTTGTCCCCCGTTTTCTTTGATTTACTTCTGTACCTGGGAAGGACATGCGCTTTAAAGACCTTCGTTTCGCCTCACGGCCATTGCTAGAATTTCGCATCATTGCGGTCGAAGTTTATTGGAAATCAACGATTAGCATGCTTTTGAATAGCGCTGTTTTCAGTCGATACCCTAAGGGCTCTTTCCTGCTGTTATTGTTTATTGTTGGATCAAACTTTTGATGGTCTAGTATGATACGAAAGGAACGGTCAATTTACTCCATGATGTTGTCAAGTCAACTATCTGTCAACTATGTTAGAATTTCGGACATGCTGGCGCTGATTCCCATCGAGTCATTCTTGTTTAAGCGACGCTAATGTCACCCTGTAGAAGTTACCCACTTTGCCCGCTGATCGATTGACACCACAAATTAGTCACGATGATGGACTGTTCTAATTGAAAGCGCTCGCTCCGTTTCTATTCTGCCTCGCAAGAGCACCACTGCAACTCGGGAACAAAGGCTATGCTGGACCCATATGACAAATTGACACTCAAGTTCAGAACAATTGCCGTTCGACACGACCTTGATGGAGTCACAGCAACAAGCTCGGGGAGACGTCAACCCGTCCAAGAGCAGTTTGAATACATCAGCTGGCAGTCCGGTTTTGTCATCGTAAGCTCCTGCGGTCCGCAATTGTGCTGAGGGCGGACGAGTCCGGCTCAAGGACAGCAACTGCGTTGAGTAACGTGTGTCAAGCACATTCGCAAGCTATATGGGGATGACAGTGGTCTCGACATCGGTTGCCGTTGAAGCAGGCAAGTACAAGCTGGACATCTTTTTTCTCTGTCATTGGCCAGCTGGTAGCATGAAGACAAGCCGAAGACGGCATCGTCAAGCACCAACAAATTATGGCTTTCAATAAGAGAGGGGGGAGTTGACATTGGGTTCCTCTCCACCGTCTGCTGCGGATCGCGGCGATTTTTCGAATACCTAGAAAACAAAACCCTGGCGTTCACTTAACGTCTTGCTTCTCCGCTTGTGATTTTTCCTTCCGACGTTCCGCAAGTTTCTTGCTCCGCTTCTCTGTTTGTGGAAAGCGCTTTTCCGTCTCACATGAAGTGCAACGAATGACCAGTACATCTGCCCAAGGTTTTCTGCGACCACGGCTCTCATTCCTAATCTCATGTGTGCAGTTGACATTGGGAATTAGAAGTGTATCGCAGCGCTTGCAGAAAGAACGCTTGACTTCCACTGGCAGCCGCAGCTGAGATTTCAGGGACACTCCCCGCAAATGTGATACATAAACTCGGACGAGTTGCGAAAGACGATCTGTGTCGTTTGACGGGCCTGTAGCAAACGACTGTTTCTGAGCTGCAATGCCAGGCTTTAGAACATGTGGTACAATCCTTGTTGAACCCGTTATCTCTCGGTTTCCATTGTCGGCTCGCTGATCATCTGGTTCCTTTGAGGAAATCGTCAAGGATTGAAGGAGGCTTGCGGCGTTATGAAGGTACGCCAATCGGGCTCGTAAATGACTGTTGACTCCGCCTAAGGCGCCCTTTTTATCTTTCGCTTTGGCCATTATGTAGGGTACAGGTCAATATGACCAAGAACGAGAAGTGAAACTGATAGATTGATCTCAATTGTTGATGGACCCGCTCAGAAGCTTTAGAGGCTAGATATGGTAATTTGGGGGCTAACCCAAAGCGGCAAGTATCCTTCGGGAATGACTAATAGATTTTATCACGTGACTACAGGCTTCCTGATCTCTTCTTGCCATCCCTCGCGAACTGCGATCTTCTCTTGTTCTCCATCGCCTTCTTTCTACCTTCAACGTTCATCATCTTCCAATTCCTTCGATCCATCCACAACGAAAGGGGATCGGACTTTTGATAAACATTGTGAATTCGTTTCGGCCGATTCTCTCCATCTACGCTTCTATCGCACAGTCCCTGACACGGCTGCCCTGGGGAAAACGCGCCGCGACAACCACCTTACTTTGATCAACGCCATTCTTATCTCGCCACCCTACATCAACAATGTCTCACGAGGAGGATCTCATCGACTACTCCGACGAGGAGCTTCAGACCACTGACGCAGCAGCCACCACCGCTGCCCCCGCCGCAAATGGGGCCCAGGACAAGAAGGGCGACTTGACAGTTTCCGGCGGCCGCCCGGATAAGAAGGGAAGTTATGTCGGTATTCACTCGACCGGTTTCCGCGACTTCTTGCTCAAAGGGGAACTTCTACGTGCCATCACCGATTGCGGTTTCGAACATCCATCGGAGGGTTAGTTAAATTACATTCTTCCCACAAGTATCCCTCCATTGCTCCGTGTTTCAACGTCCGTCCATCTCCGCGAGGAATGAAATTTGTCGCTTTTGGCCACCTATTCCGTTCGAGACTGCAGGCCACACCAGGTTGTCCACGCGGAGTACAATGAATCAACTGCGCTGTGTCCATCAAGAGCATTAATGCGGCTAGTGTCCGCTTGCTTTGCTTCAGTGGTCTACGGCGAATTAGTTCTCATGGAATTCTCTCAGGTGACATTCGTCCATTTGAGTTGGGTGATGGTGCGCTTTTTGAAGGCGACGAGCCTTGCCACCTATGACTGGACTGTTCTCGTCCTTGTGCCGAGCGAAAAACGTTTCTGTTTGGGATACGATCGCACGCCCAACCTGTGCTTTGTTCTAATCCTGTTGTGGATGCGGGCAATAATGCACTGTATGCCTAGTTTTCGAACGACTCGGGAATGGACGGACAATGCGACACGGATTGCTTTTTTCGTTTTTTCAAGTCTTATGGATCGAATACAAGTCTAACATACCGTTCCACCTTTTACAGTCCAGCAAGTCTGCATTCCCACTGCAATCCTTAACGTCGATGTTCTCTGTCAGGCCAAGTCTGGTCTTGGAAAGACCGCAGTTTTCGTTCTCACTACACTCCACCAACTCGAACCCGTACCTGGAGAATGCTCGGTTCTTGTCATGTGCCACACTCGTGAATTGGCGTACCAGATCAAGAATGAATATGCCAGATTCAGCAAATACCTGCCCGATGTGAAGACCGCTGTCTTCTACGGTGGTACGCCCATCCAGAAAGACATCGAGGTGTTGTCAAACAAAGAGACATATCCAAACATCGTTGTCGGCACACCTGGTCGTCTCAATGCTCTGGTCCGCGAGAAGAAGCTTTCTCTGCGCAACGTTAAGGCGTTCGTGTTGGATGAATGTGATAAGATGCTTGATCAGATCGGTAAGCAAGCACACCTCACTAATAGGGATGACCCTTACTTACATCTAGCCAGATATGCGCCGGGATGTCCAGGAGATTTTCCGTGCCACCCCCGCCGATAAGCAAGTCATGATGTTCAGTGCAACCCTCTCCCAAGAGATCCGGCCCATCTGCAAGAAGTTCATGAGAAACCCTCTTGAAGTTTACGTAGATGATGACACCAAGCTCACACTCCACGGTCTCCAACAATACTACATCAAGCTCAGTGAATCTGAGAAGAACCGGAAACTCAATGAGCTTCTGGACAGCCTTGAGTTCAACCAGGTCATTATCTTCGTTAAAAGCACACTGCGGGCGAACGAGTTGGACAAGCTGTTGCGCGAGTGTAACTTCCCCAGTATTGCGGTGCACTCTGGTGTCAGTCAGGAGGAGCGGTGAGTATTCTATTGCTGAATTACTGGGTGCAGCGGCTAATTCAGGTTTAGTATCAAACGTTACAAGGAGTTTAAGGAGTTCAACAAGCGTATCTGTGTTGCCACCGATGTTTTCGGTCGTGGTATTGATATTGAGCGTATCAACCTGGCTATCAACTACGACTTGCCTGCTGATGCCGATTCGTATCTGCACCGTGTTGGTCGTGCTGGTCGGTTTGGAACCAAGGGTCTATCCATCTCATTTGTCAGCAGCGAGGAGGATGAGAAGGTGCTCAAGGAAATTGAGAAGCGATTCGAAGTTGCCCTTCCGTACGTTCTTTGATTTCCCCCCGGACCTGATGCTTTGGACGTGGCGACTAACAATTGCATAGTGAATATCCCGAGGGCGGTGTCGACTCCAGCACTTACATGGCGTGATTGAATAGTAGATATGTTGTGGACAGTCAACATAATCTCTCTTGACCATGTTTGTATCTGGGCAAATTTGATATTCTGTTGCTGCTTAGTGGTTTCCGGTTTCTCTTTGGCGTGACGGTTCGGTTGTGATTATATGTCCCTGCAGTGTCTCAGCTTTGCTTGGCTTTAGAAGGCACTGGTGAAAATGGGAAAGGACCTGAGACATCTGGCAAGAAAAATGTATTCACTTATAGGCTTAATTTGCAGGTTCTCGAATGACGGTCCCATTGGTTCCTTGGCTTGTATCCCTGGAGTCTAAAATAAGCTTGTCATTTGGAACTGTCGATCCCCGTTTGCCTTCGGCTTTCAACAATATTGACTACGGAATTGAGTAGGATTTGAACACACCTTGTTTGATTGCTAATCGCACTTGAACATGATCGAAAAGCATTGAACACGTAGAGAGTTGGCTCAAGCGGGTAATAGATCTGCACCCTTTACCATTCTTCTTAAGTAACTTCACAGGCTAGAAGCATAAGGTACCCAGGAGACACTCTTCCACGAAGAAGGAAGGAGATAGAAATTCATAGACGTATGGAACATGCCTCAAGCTAAGGTACACAATTAAACTGACGTTGCCAAGAATCCCATGACAGCTGCCACTTATACTTTCGTCCCGATGCTTACCTTGATTCTTCAGGGACGTTCCAAGAAACACACCATTCTCGCAGCTCTAGATCCCGCCATCGCCAAATTCAGTTCCTTTTGACGGGCTATGGTCCACCACACTGTCAAGTTCAGAAGCAAGGCCCGTGTGCTCGTGGCACGCCACAGGCGAACGGATCTCAAAAATCACTTAAACTAAACTAGCCCAACCTAATACATCTCTGCCTTCCTTGTTTTGCAGGCGAAATGATCCTCTTAATTTCCTGATAAGTGACCACAATCTTTTACCTCCTTATTTGTACTTTGATCATCGTCCATATTCTGATTGGAGGAATGAAGTTCCTATGCCGGACTACAGGTGCCGGTTGAGCCTATGTACAACTTCAGTGCTTTGGATGCGCGGTGCTCGACTTGTTACCCTGCCAAGATATGGTTGTCAATTTGTTAATTGGTGTTTTTGGTTTGAGTGTAAGTACGGCATGTTGATCTTAATTAGTACCTCTCTGGCGGGAGGAATAATTGTTCTTGCTTTTGTCTGTTGGCTTATGCCGGAGGGACAACATGGTAAGGTAGCTAGGTATGTAGCGATGAAGGTTTGGCAAGGGCAGACCCATCATCCCTCGACAGTCTTGTCGACAGACGCTGCTGAAGAGTCGGATCTTCAAGAAACGGGATAGACTCTGAGTAACCAGTGGAGAAGGCTCAGACCCAACAGTGACACTTGTCGAGCTGTCAAATGTTACAAGTTATACCCACCTCTGCGGAGAAGGATCCTCTTCATGGACTACTCTGTACATATGCAAGTTCGTGGCGACTAACTCTCATTCTCAATAAGAGTCTATTTCTCCATCAGAGATCCACGCAACACAATTCGTGTCTTGCGGGGTTGTGTGGATAAATGCTCAAGCCATGATGACGTGAAGACGCTGACTATCACAACTACTAGTGCGCCACTACTGGGGCGGCTGTTGCATATCCAAGTATCAGTTCAAAGACCTTTTTTTTCCCCTTTTTCTTTCCTTTTTTTTTTTTTTCCCTTTTCTGGCTGTCATTGTTGTCGGCTTTTTGTGCCTGGAATACACAGTACTAACAGGTAAAATAGATAGCGTCGCCGATCGCTTTCTCAGTGACATGGTATGGCACAATGACCTTCTGGTGGTGGTTACTCAAAGATGCATGGTCACTAACAGGATCAATTGGGTCCGTTCAGCATCGATGGGAAAGTAAGTAAAGACACGCAACACAGAAATGCATAACAGCAAAGAGAACTGGTTCGCGTCAGTATGGACCCAAACAATATTTCTTACTCGCTCTAACTTCAAGGTACCTACGGAGTAGTCTGGAGTCGTACTCGTGGTTTGTAAGCGGAGACGGCTACGACCGCGGTAGGCGTTCCACGGGACAATAGGACATTCTTGAATGAGGACAAAGGCATTGATCGAGTCATGAAGTGTTGGATTGAGTGGCCGATTGATGCTTTCAGAATTATTTTGAGTTAAATCCCCCCTACCTTCTGTGAACGCTGTCTATCCCATTCCCATCAACACTTACTTGGAATGAGCATGTGGCTGAGGTGCCCGCATGCGGAAAAAGACAAAGTGCACTGACACTCTGCCACCCGCAGGCAGGGCGTTGTGTCCCATGATCTACAGCATATCTTAATTTTCAATACGTCTTATGATTCATGATGAAGTAATTATGGATTACTGGCTTTGAGATTAACATGACTCCATTTGTTCTCTGGAAGTTTAGATGTTTATGCTTAATATTGTGTACTCGGTATGAGTATTGAGTCTGTATGTTCATAACTAAGGTGGTGCTTGGCATAAGTTATTTGCTGCATAATCTCCTACATTTAGTCTCTGATGATTGCTTCCCATTGATAAGTAGAATATCTCATCTGATTATTGCGCTTCGACTGCAATCAACCTAAACGTACTCCATTGCGTACTCCGTACTCTGAAGATAAAGAATCCTCCGCAGCCTGCAGGCACAACTCTCCCATAGCTGGCAAGCTGCACTCCAATTGGAAAAATTGATAAACGTACCTGAGCTTCAGACCCACAAAAAGTACCATAGATAGAAACAGCAGCTGTCTACAGATAGGTATGGAGCACAGCTTGCGCGCACGGTGATTCGTCCTGGTGATCAGCCAATTTCTGCTACTGTAAGAGCTAGTCAGCCTAGTCTACTATGTTTCCAGACTAAGGCACCTACTATCTACCTTGGAGATCAGGCCCACTTCCGCTGGTAAATTTGTTTTGGATTTGAATCAGCTCTAAGTAAAACTTCGGAGGTCTGGACTCTGGACACTGTGTTTTGTTTGGTTTGAGCTGGCTTTGATTTTTTGATTTTCTTTTTATTTTCCCCCCCTCCTCCTTTTTTACTTTTCTCCCCTTTTTCATGCACACACATGGAAATAGTTTTCTTGGTCGATCATAGTTGTGAGAGTAAGACAAATGTATCAAGGTCGAAGGAAGCACTCCATAAAGGGCTTTCTATCCCTTGGTGCCTGGATTTGGCCGAGCGAAGAGGGAAGACAGTTTGGACAGGACATTAGAACCGCCAAGGCTAGAGATCGTTGTTGATAGCGATCTGAAAATTGCCGTCCTCATGGCTGATACGAGTTTGATAATGATAATCTTCAGATCGATAACAATTTACTTGAGGCACAGACACCTACCGGAGGTCGCAAGCCTCATGCTGAATCACAGGTAAATTTACCTGACAACAAAGTCACGTCGCGTCGAAGTAAGGTACCCGACATATCAGACAGGTGCCAGCTGTACATACTTGCTGTAGTCTGTACGGAGTATTGCTACATCCGTCCTGTCCCTACGTCCTGCAGCCGTAAACAGCACATGTACGCCGTACTAGAATTCATGACCACTGGTGGTGCTGAACTCCTGGTAGGGTGAGCGTGTGATGCCTGCAAACAGCGAGATGTACCCTGGCTTCATGTCGATCCCTAGTCCGGCCAGAGCGGTGGCATGTTGGCTGACGGGTGACCATCGAACAACCAACGATTCATCGACCACCGCCTCCCCCTTGCAAGGAAGGAGGTCTTTACTTCGGTTGTTAACCCCCTTTGGTTCAATAGCTGTCGATTTTGACGAGGAAGGAGACGGTGGTGTCAATTCCCGGAACTTGGGAAAGGTGACAATGGCGATTCAAATCGATTGGGTTTGTTCGATGGGTCAAGCACTCGAATTGACTTTGCAATGGCATGCTAACTTGGTGAATGCGAAGAAAAGAAATTATGAATTTAGAAAAGAAGGGCATTGGCGTTCATAGTTAGTTCCGCTTACTACTCGGAGTAGGGATATTGTGACTCAGTCCTCAAGACTCGTACAGCTGTTTTGGTGCGAAAATGTTTACAGGGTATGTGTGAGGTGTATGTATCCAGGCATCACCCTAGAGTCAGGAAAGCTCATGTCCAGGCTGTTGAGGTCTTCAGTTGGTTTGACAACGACGGAAAGGCTGGGAAAATTGGTGATTTTATAAGAGTAGGTGGATAGCTGGATGATACCTCATGGGTTTGATGCTATTATTAAGATATCTTGCTGTTTCTCCTGGATTATTGATTCTTATCGTCCAGAATCATCAGTCAGGTACCGATACTGTAGCAATTTATGCCACTTAGGTACCATAGACAATTAGATTCCGGCCTAAATTCGACCGTCCACCAACAGACTAAGTGGGTTTTGGGTGGGTTCCGGTGCCGGGAAGATTTGCATCAGTGGCCGATTTGGCTGGCTTAGTGGATTTTGCGGTCGCTGTGGCTCAGCAATTTGATGTGACATACTCCTCCGTAAATCAAATATTAATGTGCTGTCTCAATTGCAGGATTGTCTGTTTTAATAACAATTTTGCATTCAGGACACTTTAAGTCTGCAGAGTACATTTATTGATTGGAGTATGGGCGCAAATAAAGTACTGTAATCAAGGAACAGTACGACAGTAGGTAGAAGCTGATTAGTGTAGGCTCTTAGAGTTAGACCCGGCAGTGCACCGATGAAACCAAAACTGGGAAGCCAGACACTAAACAACATAGATTCCAAGTTTTAAGAAATTAGTTTAATGACGATTCCGATGTTATTAATATTACCAGCTACTAGCCTACACGGCCAATGCTGTCTTGTTCTTGAGCCTACTCGATAGCCATTATCCTGTAGACTATGCTAGCATCCTATCACAACAGATAGTCAAGATAGATCTGAAGAGAAAGCGAAAGGAAATACTAGAGACAGGGGAAATCCTCGCTATCACTATTATGCCTTGTTCTATTTGTAGAAATCAGTATCGAGTGATATCGGGTAAGGTAGGTAGTAGGTAGTGTAAAACTCTTGTAGTAC